CAGGGATCTCAAACCTGTCTTAATCAGAACACAAGAACAACAGCACATGAGAGGAGGCGACTGGGCCCAACTGGCCCGGTTGGTAATGAGCGATTCATTCCTCCACGAATCTCACCCATCCGCTTCTTGAGAGAAACCAGGGTAGCGGTTTCAACAGCAAGGCTGGGTAGTCACAATATTTGACATTTGTTTCGCTCAAAACGGGCTTTTAAAAGAAAAAAGGTGTGTTTGCATTGAGCAGTTTTATCATTGACAGGGTTTGCGCTTGATATATTTTTTAAAATGAACGGTGGGGCACCCTCACACACACTTACCATGTGTGAGCAGTGTCGCTTTTTTTCCTCCACTTCCTGTTATGATAAATTTTGAAGGTTGTGAAACATAATTTGTGTACAGATCATGTGTGCGTGTAGGGGAGAGCTGAAACTCCAGAAAATTATTTAAAAAAAAATTGCTGACTGGCATTTTTTCACAATATGCGTGTTGTTTTTTTCAGTTGGCGAACTCTACTGCCATCATGTCGCCCATTAGCTAGCGTGATGCCATTGCGTTTTCTATCCACACACACGTTCTTCTATTCTAAAATCGACACAACGCAACGGGTCTCGCCTTGTAGACGTAAAACCGAGACGCGGTCAAATGCATTGATGAAATAATCGCGATCAAAAAAAATCGCGATCTTCAACGTTAAATTCGCTTCCGAGAGTCATTGGTTTACCGCTTTCCCGATTTAAAACTGCGTTTTCATTCAGCCTACGTTTTCTTGGGAACGACACAGTGTATTCTTCTTTGGGTAGATTTGCTTACAAAAAAAATGCATGTAGCCCGTTAAAAGTAGTTGCGGTGCTAACAAAATCAGCTGTGTTATGAGCTGCGTCAGTCCTCATCAGGCTGACGATGCCCGTGACTAAGGATTTGTTCTGCCTGTGTACCTTGAACTCATTCCCAGTGAATCAAACTGGCAGTTCAGGGAGTAGTGCTGACCTGGTATTTAAATTGTAAAACCAGAAAAAAAAACATTGAGAGTTGCAAACCCCCCCCCCAAAAAAAAAAAAACAACTCACAATCACCTTGAGGTTTAACGGGCTGGTTCCGTGCTATCATATCAAAACGGGTGTGGTACCTTTGCTGTCGTGTTTATTTGACACCTCAGGATGTGGTGAGAAAGAATCGAGTCTTATTCTCGCCATGTGACGCACTGTTTTTTCCTCCTCAATTCAGTAGAAATGGGAACTCTGCAAGGTGAAAGTGCTCAAAAAATATTTTACTCCCCTCCACTCACAAAAAAAGTGTTGCTTAATTTTAAAACCCACTGGAGCAAAGCTTTCCTTAGCATTTCATGCCCTGTTGGAAGTCCTGGGCTGCAGTGTGCACTGGAGCACATGCCAGTACATGCAGGTGATGGGGACACAGTACTGTAGCTATGATAATAATATTGATAATAATTGCTTACACTTATATAGTGCATTTCTGGACACTCCACTCAAAGCGCTTTACAGGTAATGGGGATTCTCCTCCACCACCACCAATGTGGCAGCCATAGTGCGCCAGAACTCTCTCCACATCAGCTGTCAGTGGGGAGGAGAGCAAAGTGATTAAGCCACTTTAGAGATGGGGGTTATTAGGAGGCCATGATTGGTAAAGGCCAGGGGGGAAATTTGGCCAGGACACCAAGGTAACACCCCTACTCTTTTCGAGAAACGCCCTGACTCTCTTATGACCACAGATACTCAAGACCTCGGTTTTACATCTTATCTGAAATATGGCACCTTTGTACAGTAGAGTGTCCCCGTC